ATATATATATATATATACTTAAAATAATTACAAAAAAAAAGCATGTTAAGAGTATGAGATAAAACACTAACCCTTTTAAGCCCGATTATTTGTCTGGATTTTACTTGAAAAAAATTATTGAATCCAGAATGGACAAACTGAAAGGAATTTGAAACGAATTTGCAAGTTGCATGGTGTTTTAATCCTACATTTTAGGCCTATTCGTTTCTAATGCTTCGCTAGCTTTTGGCGTTTAAACTAGACCTTTTAAGATGAACTGATATTTTTTCAACATTTTGTGGTTGTTGTTTTTTCACACTTTTCATTCCTTCAACGGTTTGTCATTATACAGTCCCCAAAATGCAGAAGAGATAATATTAAAGAGTATATATATATATATATCAATTTTTTAGAAGTTTGTTTGTTTCAGAATTTTGCGAAGGAAACTGTCTGCGCATAACCGCCTCTGACTTTAAAGTGAAAGACTAGAAGGAAGCAGATAATCAACATGACCTACTGCTAAATCTTGGTCTAACTAAATAGTGAGATTTAACCGTCACTCTTATAGTATACTCATGCGTTTTTGCGGCAATGGATCGCGAATCGTGACAGCCTATTAGAAAATTTTAGTTTGAACGCTTATTATTAAATAACTAACTTAGTTTATTATTACAGTATAACACAAAGTTTACTTCGTGTCTAAATATTGTAGTTAATACCAAACACATAGCTTACAGTACAGTATACTTGTGAATGAATAATAAAAGCTAAATTTACTCTGTGTTAAGATAAGAAATATTTAGTTAGCTAACGGATACTTGAGGTTAATAATGACCAACGAAACAAGGTTTGTGATGCTCAAGCACCGTTGGATTGTTTTTGATATCATCAATGTCTTCAAAAATCCAAAAGAAGGTTTTGATGACAGACTGCAGTTCATCTGAAAGGTTTTTCGTAGACTTTTTCTACATACTTGGAACTTGCTTTAGCACATTGTTATGAATTACTTGAAACAAGTTTCAAACATACGGTGGAATATGTTTGCTTGTAGGTGACAATCGGGGTCATACTTTGTGTCCACGAGTACAAGATTTGTAGGTTTACTTGCAAAATCCGCGTAGTGCCGAAAAACAACAACAAATAACAGAAGTAGAGAAGTCGCTCTGGGCTAATTATTCTAGAAACACTTTTTGATAAACATTATTTGAAATTTTACTTTTCAAAAATAGTAGAGCGAAAAAACATTGTAAGCTAATATCAGAGATATTTTCTTTAAATTGAAATCCTCAAGAAATGTGATTTTTGGAGGTTGAGAAAAGCAGCAAAACTACACAGCCTTTGATAATATAACATACATTTTGGTTTGTTTGTTTCAAGTTAAACACAAAGCTACACAGTGTGATATCTGTGCTCTGCCCACCACGGGTATCGAAACCCGGTTTCTAGCGTTATAAATCCGCAGAAATACCGCTGTGCTATTGGGGCACAATTTTTATTTTAACTCCTTATGAAATTTGTCGATGTCTCACTTAGTACAACAAAATGAGGTTCTCTTTTTATACTTGTTTGGGAAAGACTTTAATAATATAGCTTAAATATTTTCTACCTAGTTTGCTAACTTATAGAAATAAACAGAGTTTTGACAGCGTTGTTTACATGCTATGATTTTAACAAAAAATTCAATGCAGAGATTTTAAAATTAGTTCTTGTCAACTGTCTCGTTCCGTTGCTTAATGAAACAGGCTAAGATGTTTTAATATCTTGCAGTACCTTATATATATTATTATTTTAAACTTTCAATGAAAATGTTCATTGTTGCCTAATTTCCAAAATTTATTTAATTGGCTTTTATACAAGTCTGATAGATAAACAATTCTTCTTGAATATTTTTTTGTTATTCTATCAGTAGTACCTCAATAATATGACCTAGAATGATTTAGAAGCTATTCATAAATAGGTTTGTCACATTAATACATTACATTTGCAACCTATTTTTAAGTATCTTACGTACAGATACCAGAATTATTCGTTACACTTAACACACTACATTGACAGTCTTATTACGTATCGCTAGGATAATATGGTTTGTTTTGATTTTCGCGCAAAACTACACGAGGGCTACCTGCACTAGCCGTCCCTAATTTTAACAGTGTAAGACTAGAGGGAAGGCAGCTAGTCATCACCACCCACCGCCAACTCTTGGGCTACTCTTTTACCAACGAAT